AATTCTGAGTAAATCAGAGTAAATCAGAGTAAATCAGAGTAATTCTGAGTAAATCTGAGTAATTCTGAGTAAATCAGAGTAATTCTGAGTAAATCAGAGTAAATCAGAGTAAATCAGAGTAAATCTGAGTAAATCAGAGTTATTCAGAGTAAATCAGAGTAAATCAGAGTAAATCAGAGTAAATCTGAGTAAATCTGAGTAAATCTGAATAATTCTGATCTGAGTAAATCAGAGTAAATCAGAATAATTCTGATCTGAGTAAATCTGAGTAAATCTGAGTAAATCTGAGTAAATCTGAGTAAATCTGGGTAAATCAGAGTAAATCTGAGTAATTCTGAGTAAATCTGAGTAAATCTGAGTAAATCTGAGTAAATCAGAGTAAATCTGAGTAAATCAGAGTAAATTCAGGGTAAATCTGAGTAAATCTGAGTAAATCAGAGTAATTCTGAGTAAATCTGAGTAAATCAGAGTAATTCTGAGTAAATCTGAGTAAATCTGTGTGGATCTGAGAGTGTTTGTTTGCACGAAGAACAGCGATAACAGAGCCGGTGGAGATAAATCTGGGGAGAAAAGCGCGTCTTTGGTTTTATCAGAAATGAGCTTTTTCTCAGAGCTTTATCTGAGAGGAGGAGACGGACCAATGGCGTCGCGGCGCCTTTATCTGAGAGCTGGAGACGGACCAATGGCGTCGCGGCGCCTTTATCTGAGGTTACAACCGTCAGTCGGAGGCTGAAAACAGGAAGTGAGCCTGACTCACCTCAGACCTGCTGACAGGCCAGCAGCCATTATTTAATAATAATACATTTTATTTGAAAGCGCCTTTCTCTACGCTCAAAGACAAAGACACACAAAAAAAAACCCTAACCCTAACCCTAAACCTAACTGGGCCTTTTTCTTCTTCCTCTAATGTTTCATATCATTGGATAATTTTCCCCGTCTGATGAGGAGAAATATGAACAGAAATAATTCATTTTAATGCTTTTAATCTAAATTGGGATCAAATAAATGTATCTCCTGTAGTTAATTGTGTTGTAATTGTTGGTAATGAAGCTTCGTTCTGAGTCTGAAACTCAATTGTTCACATTTTCCTTAAAGCTGACTGAGCTCTTCCTCTCCTCTGGCTCAGCGTTTTGGGGTTTTGACGGTTTCACGACAGATCAGCAAGAATTCGACCTGAACCAGAGAAAACGTGCACATCAACACAAAAACAACAAAACAACCAAAGTGGAAAGAAGCTGAATATCCGGGCCGGGGAAGCCCCGCCAAAACCAGAACCCCTCGTAGGCTCGCTTTGATCAGAGGAAACGGAAAAAACCTGTATAACGAGCTGAAGGGAAGTTCACCCCGAGGAGAACGAGGGCCCAGAGGTGAGCCAGGGGCAGTGTTGGGGAGTAACGGATTACATGTAACGACGTTACGTAATTTAATTACAAAACAAGAGTAACTGTAATTCGTTACAGTTACAATGAGAAAATATGTAATTCAGTTACAGTTACTTCCGAAAATATTAAGAATTACAAATTTAGTTACATTTTTTTAAAAATATAAAGAAAAACCTTTGCAAAATATGCAACTTACTGATAGACGAAGCGTACTGATTTACTAATATTTGACTGTTTGGTGTTGATGCATGACAAACGTTTATCGATGTCTATGACCTAGCCTACCCAACTCCTCTTTTTCCCGGACATGTCCTACATTTCAGACTAGGGTTGTCAAAAGTATCGATACTTAAAAAAGTATAGATACTAAAATGTTGTATCCGGATACGACTGACCTGCCGTCGGTTTATTTATGTATTTATTTACGTTGTTTATGATCATTAACAAGACGTTAGCCTTGAACTGTTAGCTGCGGCTAATAGCTAATAATAACATGCTAAAATTAATCATGGGTCAATACTCATGAAAACCTTAAAGTAATCAAAAAGTAATCAAAAGTAATTAGTTACATTACTTTTAAAAAGTAATCGAAAAAGTTACACTACAATTACATTTTAAACAAGGTAACTTGTAACTGTAACGGATTACATTTTTAAAGTAACTTACCCAACACTGGCCAGG